TATGCTAACTATTGCCAAACAGGACAGATGTGCAGGATATTGTATAATACTGTGCTGCCAGATAACGGCAGTCGTAGCTGTTCTGTCAGAAACCATGTTTTAAAAATCCCTGCCACTTCTAAGCTAATCTCAGATACCTTTAACTCACAAAGGGAGAGACCATCCTCCAGACAAGCACTCACAGAGCTACTGTGTGAGATTCTAATTCTACTTTTTTTCTTAAAGTTCAGGGTTTTGACAAAAAATACACTTTAATCCATTTGCTTTTTTAAATGCAATAATTATTTTAATGCACCCACACGGAAAGGGAAGTATATTTCACAACATTTTCCCACAAAATACTGTGATCTTAGCCACCATTCATTTATTGCTATTTTGTGTAGCACATTATGTGTATTTCCAGCGTCCTCAGAGAATAGTCATTGTTTACACCAGAGGTTGGATTAAGGAGGTTTTGGAATCATGGATTAAAAAGGGTTTTCCCTATAATCAGAAGACAATAATGCTTTCCACAGCTATATGCAAAGAGGTGGATAAAAAGCTAATTGGTTCACTACACTGGAACCAACGACAAGATACTGCTGTGAGCAAGCTTTCTGCATGCTTGCAGCCAAACTTCAATCACCTGCTGTCAGGGCATACTAGTTAGCATGCTGTTCCATGAATCATCCACCAGAAAATGCTATTTTTTTTTTTAAATTCTATGTTCTTCTGGCCTAGTGCTGCTGCCATGATCACCATTCTTAAATTAAAGAAAACAAGAAGAAACATAAAAAACCCCTGCCCTCCTGGTAAATTAGTATTTAGCAATGAGGTTGTTTTTTAAAGCATCTCAGTACTTGGGAATATGCAAAAACTAAAATGCTGGGCTATACCTTACGTTCATCACGATATACATTTAAGGGAACACTGGTTTGACTGAGGATTACACAACTCAGTATCCCCAAATCTAGCTGTTCACAGGTTTTTAAATAAATCATTTAACTGCAGTTGATATTTCTCTTGCTGAACCTCACCTCCAAGAACTGGTATTTGCAGAAGTTTGAATCGAACTCAGTACTCCTTTTCTCATATTCATAGGTACTGATAATCTGTATTCAGATTTTACACTTGCAAATCATTTTCAGGTACAATTTTCATCGAATACTGGCAAGCTGAGTATTTAAAACAGCTTTTTCATTTATAAATTCAGTATACACTTACTTGATCTCACTGGGTTTGGCAAAAAAAGGGTAACTTTTAGAACTTCCTTTAGTCTTAAATCAGACTCCTTTTTAGGGTTTTTGTTTGTGATAAATTGTCAATGTTAGTGGCTCATAGTGTAAGTGAGGGCACATAGATACTTACCAGAAT